TATGCGAACATGTACTTTTGCAATGTGAGCAAACAAATATTTAGATTGTCTTTAGAATTATTCTTTATTTTAGAAATAGAAGAAGTATTTTCTTTCAATAATAATGATTGTTACTTTTTATTTCAGAAATGGCATTATTGGCTGTAAACTCTACTTGCTTAATGAAAACATGAGTCACTTGGAACAAGCGNGGCGTCATCGTAAAAGGTAAGTTTTAGTAAAAAAAAAAAAGCTCTACTCTTGTTTTCAAGTGAACTTTTTTTCACTCTCTGTGTGTATTGCATTGAGAAACAATATTTTTTTGTAAAACAATTTGATAAAAAGTTGTATCTAGCATTTTCTGACAGGAACGTTTTACATAAATTCGCGAAGGTATGTGGTATAGTTGATCGTTTGTGACGTTGTTAGGTAAAACTTAGGTCATACTGTGGTAACGCTATGGCATTCAATAATTATCATGAGATGTACCGCCAGCTTTTAGAAACTTGTTTATTGTAGATTTTTTCAAAAGAAACACTTTTATTTCCGAAAGTGTATGCTACTAATGATAAAACGTTACATATTCTATGTGATATAACCGTAATAAAATATGCATTATTAATGTTGCAGAATGGACTGGCTCAATGAAATAACCAAGATATTGTTTGTGATTATGCTATTGTATATTTTCTACACACGTTTTTTGTAAAATACGTTATATTGTATATCAAGAATTATGTGTGATTTTACTTTAAAATCAGTAATTTTTGTAAAGTTCACGAACAAGAAATACATTTTCAACAGTATATTTATATTTAGCTGTACAACTGCATTTAACTATTGCATTAAATTAATTTCCCATAACGCAACAGTTTTGGCGAAATAAAATTTTGTAAATACTGTTTGTCAAAAATTGTAAAAAAATCGTTATGCATTTTCATAAGCATATACATATATATAATTTTGTGCAATGCATTTTTAGAAGTGTATACGTTTATAAAATTTCGCAATATTTTCACAATTTGCTTATTAAGGTAAATGTATATGTTTACTCTGTTATTTAGAATAAAAATTTACGTCTTAGTGTAAGAAATGTATTTTTCTATAACTTAGCTGTCAAAATAAGCTCTCTTCAAAAATATTTTAATTGCATGAGAAAATACAGGAAATAAAACTGAGTCTGTTCACCCATGTTTGCATCCATTCGCCTCCTCACTCGTTCTTTACAAATTAATTTTCTCTATCTTTTTTACAAAGATCTGTATGCTTTATTTTTTTACATATTGCAAGAATATATATATTAGTTTCTTTAGTGCGACACATATGCTAAGGTTTGGACGTCAGTTAATTTTGCGATGGTATTGTATTCTATCTTAGGCTGGTCGTTTGATCTACATAACATTATGTAAACAAATATCGACAGAAAGAAAGAATAAAAGTAACGAATTTATTTGTGAAACAACGTCGCTGCGTGCACTTAATGCCAATGCAGTCTGTCGCGGTCGCGATATAAAACGTGCGATCTCGTTGGGTTGACGTTTCCGACATACTTACCTATACATTCCTAGGAAAACGCAGGATGGGTGCTGTAACAGCATTTNGAAGTCGTTCCCTGATTATTGTACAAATTTGGTATATATCACGCGTATTGTAACGAGCTCTACGAGCTACCGAAAGAAAAATTTGTCTTCCGTGTTCAAAACCGTATAAAATAATCGATCCCTATATTTGGGACATAGAATAGGATACTACAGTTTTCCAAACATCCTACGCGACAATTTCACTTATATTTTGTGTACGCAGNTAGAACATAAAACAAACAATAATAACAAATAACGCAGCTAAAATTCGACGACAGGTGTCGAACATCGGGACAACGAATGACAAAACTACTATTTGTCGTAATATCTACGTTTCGTTTTGTAAATCTGGAGATGGCCTCAAACTCAATCGTAAAATGTCACTGATTGCTTAGCGTCGATAAGTTGCTAATTGTGCAATTGTATCATTTAATACTAATCACCGACCGGTGGGTGTAATTCGATTGACAATGATACACGATCGTGATGTATAAATATTAAAAAGAGAGATGATAATAAATAAAGAGAATGAGAGAAGCGTAAATTAATGACGATAACGGATGTCACTGTCGGGAAAGTAACATCCGACTCGATATACGATTTTGTGTGAAACAACGCAGCAAACACAAAATATAACTGCTACATAACATGGGAGTAACATATAATGTAACAGTTGGTATACTTGATTTATATTGGTATTATATAATTTTTTCTTATTTATGCAATTTAACTCTGTAATGAAAATTATATAGTTCGTTACTTACTGGCAACAACTAGATAACAATAAAGTAATGTAACATGTTATATGACAAATTTTATGTCTGCGTTACTGTAACGTGACAATTTATATGGATATGATCGAGTGATTTATTGGTGAATAGAATTTGNAGATTCTATAAAAAAAAAGATACGTATGGTTGTGAAAATATATAGTAATAAAAAAACGATATGATACCTTTAGTACAAACTACCTAGCAAACACAGAATACAACTGCTATATAACATAGAAGTAACAGCGTGATATAAGTAATAAAACAACTGTTATACTCTATTAACATCGATGTTATGTAACTTTGTTTTATAAATGTAATATAATTTTGTTATATATCTATTATATTGCTTGTTATTAGCTAATAATGACATTATAACTTTCATATAACATTTCTGTAAC